GCAAAAAACAGGTTTCTGAAACTCATCAGGGCTGGACCCATCCAGAAATCTTCATCTTCTTCACCTCTATCCTCTTTGCACCAGCCCCTGCTCCAGTGTTTGAGAACCTTAAAAGGAGGCAAACATCTGGTCCAGTGGTGAAGGCCCCAAGGCTGGACAGCAGGAGACGGTGAGTTCTAGACCCGCACGAAAGTCGGCTGGGTGACTTTGGGCCAGTCCCTCTCTCTCAGCCCAACTCACCTCACAGGGTTGTTGTTGTGGGGAAAATAGGAGGAGGAGGGTATATTAGGCATGATCGCCACCTTGAGTTATTTATAAAAATAAGGACGGTGGGTAAAAAAAAAACTTTAAAAAACCCTGCCCTGTAAGAAGGTAGCCATTTATGTTCATTGTATTTCTGCCTGACCTCCTATAATTCTCTAGTTCAGTGTTTCTCAACCCTGGCACCTTTAAGATGAGTAGATTTCAATTCCCAGAATTCCCCAGCCAGCCTTGCTGGGAGTTGAAGTCCATACATCATAAAGGCTGAGAAACACTGCTCTAGATATTTAAAATAGATTTCTATTCTGCCTTTGACAGTGCAAAGCTCTACCAAGGTCCCTCCCTGATTAAAGCAGTGACCTTTTAAATTAGGGTGACATTTCTTTGATTGTTCTTAGCTTAGCCATTCGTCTTGAATGCACAAACACAGTTCTTCTGTATCTCCATAACCATAATTCCAACCCTAGGCCAGATGTCAGCGTGGTTATCTTCACAGTATCTGAAGAAGCAAAGAGAGGAAGTCTAGTTGCTTCCTTGAGGTCATCCAGCTGCCCCATGGCTGAATCCGGGCAAGACCTGAACTACCCCTGAAGTTGCACACAGAGGCACTGTTTTTCGTTAATCTTCCAGAAATGCTGGCTGGGGAATTCTGGGAGTTGAAGTCCACGTATCTTAAAGTTGCCAAGGTTGAGAAACACTGCTCTACAGCTTTGCAAATCTAGCAGCCCTATGCCTGAAAGTATTGGACTAGAGCTTTCATAATTCCAGCCAGCAATTTTGAGAATTTTAGAGGGCCCTATTCTACCAACTCTTAAACGCTGCCAACTAAAACATTTCCTCCAAGTTTCTCCACACCCCGGTTCCCTCTTCAGTCTGGGTCTACAGCCATCTCCAGCAGGACTGCGTTCAGTCTTGGGTTTTGAGGGCAACCAATGGAATGCAGAGTCTTGGCAAAAGGCCTTACCACACAGACAGGTCATTTGTGGGACTACAGATCCCATCCCCCCGACAAATGTCCATGCTAGCTAGGACAAGGGGAGGTAGAAATTCAACCCTTTCTGGAGGACAAGTCCCCTTGCTAAGTTACAGTTATCAGTCCAAATCATAACCAAAGTATCTTATGTTTAACAAAAATGTGCATATTTTATATTTGTTATGGGTTCTCCAGAGACTTGGTCAGTGGGAAAAAAACGTATGAACCGATGCATCTGGTAATAACTGGTTGTGTTAATATCTCCCCAAAATCCAGGGCAATTTGAGTATTCCCTCCATTGTACTTCTGCAATCTGGCTGAACTACCTTAAAAGCCCTAAGGGAAGGACTATGCCACTTTTGACTCCATGCAGACTGTAGCACACTCTGGGGATGCTACCGAAGAAAAGTTAGCAACAGCTAACCACACCAGAACAACACAGAGACAAGCTACTTTGAAGCATCTGGGCTGAATGGTCTTTTCAAATCCTATGTTCCAATTTTATTTAGATTTCCCATTTTGTACTGTAATACAAAATATCCATGGTTCCTGATGTGTTTCACATCTGCAAATACATACACTTTCCCACCAGACTTTTTAACTCACTTCTTTAAGCAGCTGACTCCTACGCGGAAGACCGGATTATTTTTAATTGTTCTTGATCCTCGAGTGACATGAATTTATTTATTTATTTATTTAATAAATTTACATGGCCACCCATCTCATAAACATGACTCTGGGCGGCTGACAACTAAAAGAGAATAAAAACACTACCAGAATAAGAAACATAAATGACATAAAATAGCAGTCAAGAGCACTCACAGCATCCCACAATCGATATAAACAAGAAGCCGGCTTGCCCGCACTATCAGGCTTGATGGCAAAACCAAGTTTTTAATGCCTTGCGAAAAGCATTAAAAGCGGGGTCAGGGCAAGTCTTGGGGAGGCGGGGGGGGGGGGGAGTGTTGTACAAAAGGTTGGGGGCCACAGCAGAAAAGAGTCTCTTCTATAATAAACAGTCCAGTAAAAAACTGATCTCTTCTAATCTCCACCTGAATAGATCACCCCAGACAAGATCTGGTCACCGATTCTGGCATCCAAAGGTGTGTGTCTTCTGCATCTTTCCTTACCCAGATACCCCTGGCCTCTCACATTTTTCGTGGGCACATCTCCCACTCCCCTTCGCCTTCCCATTGGCCCACAGCCCTCCTGTTCCCCACACCACAGCAAGAGACCTCCCTACCATACCCAACTCTTTGCCAGGCAACATAGGTTCTTGTCTCCAGATTATCCCCAGAGAGAAATGGAAGAGGAGAAAGCTTCTGAAACCCTAACTAGAAAAAGGGAAAGTTTAACTGTTCTTCCAGCCACTTTCTGGAATGGAGAAACATAAAAAGGGGGGGGGGTAGGAAAGAGGATGAAGAAAGGTCTCTCTCATTCCTGCTCCTTTTTGTCTGATGTCACGGGGCAGAAATGTGTCTAGGAAGAAACCACAGAGGGAGAGGCAGGAATGTAGTGCTCTAGAAGGGTGGGGAAGCCCTGGAAAGGGGCGGGACAGGAGGGAAAGAGAAGTGAACAGGCCACCATGACCTCCTCCAGAGCACAGATCCTTCACCCTGATGTCCCAGCCAGGTGACCTAATTGGAAGACCCTCACCAGATCAGCTACTGCATTCTAATTTCATTTCCTCCTACTGCTATCCCACCCACTCTTCAGATAGCTGAAGGCTGAGGATCCTCCTCTACCCACCACCCCAGCACTGCACCTCCACAACAGTCCTGCGCAGTAGGCTGGGCTGGGAGCTAACAGCCAGCGAAGATCAAGATCACCGTATGGATTTCTGAGGCCGCTTTGGAAGAATTTTGCAAAAGATTACGGCCCAGCTCAGGATCCCGGATCTGCTTCCTGCTCCGTAGAAGAGGTATTTTGCAAATCCTAATGGAACCCAACCAAGAGAATACAGATACTAATGCAGATTTTTTTTCACTCAGGCTGGAGCGAAGGTTAGATATGAAATAGCTGCCCTTTCTCACAAGCACGCCTTGCGGAATAGGGCAAGCGGCCTCCGTGAGGCCCCAACAACTGGACTGCTGAAGTCCCCCCTCCGTCCCCATTAAACGATGGCTTGAACTCCTACACACAAGAGGGTTCCCTGGGGCCTTTGGATCACCCAGACCAACAGCCAGGAAGTCTGCATCTCGTTCCAGATAAAGACCATTTGAGGATGCCAGATATGAGCAAAACCACTAGAAAGCTCTTTTACAGAGGAGCTTTATCTCAGGAAGAGAGGGACAGAGGGAAAACGCGCTAGGATACGCGCTAGGAGTCCTCTTTGTGGGTTTGGCAGCTTCGGTCTTGGGTAGCCCTCCCCAACCGGGTATTGCACAACCTCCACCCAGCTACTGGAGCTGATGGGCTTTGTAGTTTCTGCACAGGGGCACTTTGCCTAAGTCTAGCCTTGAGCTTCCTGTGTTCCAAGGAAATGGGAAGATGATACAGTATCTACAGCAGGCACCCCGGAGAGCCTGTTGCAGTGATGGATCAGGACTCCTCGTTCTTAATTCCTTTTCCTTTCTTCTCCTTTGGACACCAAAACGCAAAGGGGGCGGAGGGAGGCCCTGATTTCTCTGAAGCAGTTGTAGGATGCACAAGGCAGGAGGACAGAGTGAGGGCTGCAAAGCAAGCTTGTCTAGCAGGCTGGTTCAGCAATTCCGCAAAGCCACAGGAATACGCTGAGAAATAGCATTCCTTCCTTCTCCAGATGGGAAGGGCTGAGGAAATGCACCCTCTCCCCACCCCGCCAGCTACAAGGATGGGGGAGAAACTGGGAGAGGCCCTGGAGAAAGGCAAGGGACCAGAAGAGGCAATGCATGAGATCTGCAATCAGGGAAGTTTGCAAAGCAGGACAGCCAATTCACACATTATGGTTCCATCAGGGGTGTTAAGCTAATCCCTCAACATATAAAACCTGGACCCAAGTGGAGGCAAACCTAGGTTTGCAAACGTGGGTCCAGCGCAGCAGACGGATTCCGGCAGCAGACACAGTCCCACGTTCTCGTCGGAAACCAGACAGCCCACCCCCACCCCCGTTCCCTCCCAAGGGCAATTCCAGTGAGAAAGGGAGGCTGCCCTCGTGCAACACGTGAAAAAGTCCCAGAGGAAGGAGGGAAGGGGGAATTTTGCAAGGGGGTTGGAGCAGGGCGTGGGATAAAGTTCTGAAAAAAAGTTGGTGCCAAAATAAAAACACTGCTGTTGCTGCGCAAGAACGCGATTAAAAGAGAAAGAAAAAGAAATGGAATTGGAAAAAAAGCTGTGCAGCGCCGGCACCAGCCCCCTCCCCCCCCCGTAAATTAAAAGAAGGAGGAAAAGAGCGGAAAGAAAGTCCGACCGGAGGAGCGCTAAAAGGAAAGAGAGCAATACTCGAAGGCGGGAATGGTAAGAAGGAAGAAAAAAACCAGCTAGAAGAACGAGAGCGCCGTCCGGGAAGAAAAAAATGACGGCCAGTCATGGAAAGAAGGGAAGGTCGACCAGGAATGGGGCAGAAAAGCGGGCGGGCGAGCCCGCAGATAGGCGAAGAGGGAAGGGGACGCGAAAGGGGTGAGGGAAAGAGGTGGAGACCC